ATCTCCTTTTGTTTAATTTTCCCCCGTTGAGACGGGAGAAGACCCACCGCCACGAAACTTTTATCGCCAATGAATCATAGGAACAATGCGCGAGACAAGGCGCGCGCCACGGAATACGATATTCCACCGTGGCCCAAACTCGATCATGCATGATTCACCTGACTATGAAACGCGTCGATAAACACTCCCCGAAGGCGAATCAAACGCCGAAAGGTTGGGCGCGATTCGACGATCGTCCTCGACGTGTGTCTTCTATAAATTCCAACCAGCGATGATTGGAACGTCCCCTTCGAAAACTACTTTGTTTTACAACTCGACACCCACGTCTCGTCTCTATGCGTACGCACGCGCGCGCGCGCTAGCTGGCTAGCTGGCTGGCTAGCTCGTCGCACACACGGGATCGGCGTTGTGTATCGGCTCGTAACCGCGTCTACGTTCTACACAGAGCACGCGCTGCGTTCAATGTAAAGCGTTAAAACGCTACGTGATCGAATTGGACAAGCGACCGGACACTCGCCACTCCGAGCCACCATTTCGCGGATGCCGGTCGAATATCAAGCAGAGAGATCGTTAGAAACGTTTTAGAATTAAGCGCGCCTTTTGCCCTCTCCCTCCTCCTCCCCCGCCCCGACCGTCGATTAGAATGGAACGCGATTACCCGCTCGGTGAAACTTGGTTAATGGAAATTGGCTCGAACGATAGAGACGAGTCCTTTGACCGCGAATCATGAATCGTCGAGCCACGACGAGAATTTGATAAAGATATTTAACCTTCTGGCTGGTCAGGAGAAAAATTAAATTTATGTTATATTTGGTGAAATACGAGATGATACGATTATATGTGAATTCTTTGGTGTCAATACTAAATGACAGATGTATAGGGATTCTAATTGAATGAAAGTTAGAATGAAATTTTAATGTGATAAATAGAATCCATTTTTCTTTATTTTTTTAAGTAATATCCAAGAAAAAATCTACTTACTAGTTATTTCTAAGGATCTTGAATGTTCTGTAACGAAAAAGGAAAAAAAACAATTTTCAAAAAGACGACGAAAATATTACAAATCGCGTGAAATTGATTAAAAGTATTTCTTTTCTTTGAGAAACAATCAGTATAAAGTTACTAATAATAGAAATTTTCGATTACTCGATCCCAGATTTAATAATAATCTCGAGAATCGTGCTCCTTTTATTCTCATCCGAAACAGTTGCGACTTATTAGCGACAGCGACGAGCCGAACAAGAGAACAAATCCTTTTCCTCGATTCCTCGAACGATTCCTCTCACCTCGCCACACGATGTACGTGCATACATTGACAAATCCCCCATTCATTCGATCTCCGCTCGTCTTTCCTCTCTCGTCGCCTCACGAAAGTCATCTTTCGAGAATTTACGGAGGTGTATACTTGTTACAAAATCACCATCCCCCCTGACACAACAATGATCACACCGGTAAGGTGCTCTCGATCGAGCGGCCGGCTATTTTGAATAGTTTCCCACAGAGAGACGGTGAAAAATCCTCCTCGAACGAGGAGGAGATCGAACGTCCACGCGTTCTATGATTCACCAAACGCGAAACGAGATGGAACGAGAGGCTCATTATCGTGGAACGAGAGAGTTAACGTGACTTCGCGAAATAATCTCGGCCTAGAGCGCGTTAACGCGAAATCAGGCGTTCAGATCGTGAGACGAGCGAAACAGAGGCAGCCACCGTCGCGATACCATGCCATTTCGATGCAAAATCCCTCCTCCCTCGGGTAGAGGATCACCTTGATCCCTGAAATGTTAGGTCGAAACGTTTCCTCTCTGCATAAAACCTAATCTGTCTCCATCGGTAGACGTTTGTTTTTCTCGCGGGAGAAGTAAGAAGGAGATCGAGCCTATCGCCGTATCGCGGAATTGGATTACGTATCTCCTGCCCCCCTCATTTATTTATCGTGACGGCCTCCCCGAGGTGTTGCCATTTCAACACCTTTTTTCACGCGTCTATTTACGATTATGAGAATTACACAAGGCAATTAGAGCCTGTATAAATACAGGTATGGAAAATCGGTACACGATTTCGCGTATAATTGCAACACGCGCAATTCGTTTTTAAACATCGTGGCGGATAACGATGAAATGATTACAGGGTGGAATAATCGTTCGAATAATCGTGTTTCGGTTCAAGTATTTAATAAAGCGGTCACAAGTGGAGAGACGACTTCCTCGTTCGTTCCAATGAATTTTAATCGAATTTGATTTATGGTTGCACATTATTAAAAGGCTATCGTAGATATGGTGAAACGAAACGTCGAACGCATCTCCAAAACGTATATCCAATCGGAGGAAAGGAACGAATAATTTCGGTTATCAATTACACCGACATTTTGGTCGGTTATTTTCGTTCATTTGAGCGTGGGAACGCGAGAAGGGCTTCCTACGGGAACGGGGAAGCTCGAAATTCGATTTCGTGATTACGAGGCGTATCTCGACCACGCTCGGAAACCACGCTTAGAAACGGTTATTGCTCGCTAAAGTGCTACGAGATTGCACGCGCGCCGTGATCCGCACACATGCGCGCGCAAGATCAAGAACGTTGGAGAGAAAGGGGAAAGAAGAGCGCGAGGTGGAGGCGGCGAGGGATGATGGCCGGGGAGGGGGAACGAAAACACGGGGCGATCGAACAGTTATACCGTTCTCGATACGGACCAAGGTGGTTAGGGCCTGGAGAGTCGGATGGCTCATTTTCACCTGGGGTTACCTTTGGCACACAATCATCCGCCATTAAGCCTGTCTGCAAAAATTTCGAAAAACACCGGAATATCCCTTTACACAGCGACGGGGCTGAACGGGAGGAGAGGAGAGGAGAGGAGAGGCGAGGCGAGTCTCTCTTCTCAAGTGGTACGCGCATAACCCGTCCGCGGCT